CTTTTGTTCCACGGCCCAAAGGTTCACCTAGAACAGAGTTTCAGAGGTTTTACGTGTGCAGCAACATACTGGACTAGTTCTAAAACACGCCTTCATTAAAAAGGCACTCCTGTATCAGTAATGTATTCACCACTAGAAAATGTAAGCTTCTGTGTACAGAAAGAGCTTCACGAACACTTCCCGAAGCCTACTGTACCCCACGTGTATTTCAAGTAAGCTTAAGGAGATTTTCACCAATTCGTCTTTTCATGTGTCAGCTTTCAAGGTTTTGTATATAGGTGTTGCACGAGACTGTGAAAGTATTTCCATGTATAAGCTTTGAAAGCTTAATCTTTATCACAATGAGTCTTTTATTTCAGGCATTCCCTTATGATGTGTAGAGTTACTCAAACTGGAATGGTGAGAGAACAACTGTGCCCGTGCTTGATCTGATATGTGACTAATACTATCCATTTCATCTGTGTTTGTCTTTTTCAATGCATGCAGTAGGTACCTGAAGGCCAGAAATCTTCAGAATGCATACTTGAGCAGGAACATTTAATACTTACCATTATCGAGCCTGACAGTGAAAGATCCTCCAGCTGATGACTCCCAAGCATACTGCTCATCATCATTGTGCTTGGTGATCACTGTCACTTTTTCCGCAACCAGGTAGGCAGAGTAGAAGCCAACACCAAACTGACCAATCATGGATATATCAGCCCCTGCCTGCAGTGCTTCCATGAAAGCCTTGGTACCTGACTTGGCAATAGTACCAAGGTTGTTGACCAGATCAGCTTTGGTCATCCCAATGCCTGTATCCACAATGGTCAGAGTGCGATCATGCTTGTTTGGAAGCAGGTTAATTTTCAGGTCTTTTCCAGAATCCAGCTTGCTTGGGTCAGTCAAGCTCTCATATCTTATCTTGTCCAGAGCCTGTAAGAGAAACAGGCTTTAACATTCCCTGACTATACCTAAAAATTTCAGTAGTCCTGTTGACACAAACCAGGCTAGGAGGTACTTACATCTGATGAATTGGAAATCAGCTCCCTCAGAAAGATTTCCTTATTGGAGTAGAAAGTGTTGATGATCAGAGACATCAACTGAGCAATCTCAGCCTGGAAAGCAAAGGTCTCCACCTCCTCCTCCATTGGTTGGTCTTGAGTTTGCACAGCTTCCGGCATCTGTAAGGAGAGAGGGAGCTGAAATCCCATCCCAAACAGCTTGCTGCATATGCCCTTTTACAGGCAGTGACAGTGGCATTCTGAAACTAAAGGTACTTAACTACGTGATTTCAAATACAGCACCACAGGAACACAAAGAAAACCCCAAGATTTTATTTCCTACCAGTAGCAATTGAGATTTTAACTACAGACTTGCTTTACATTCACTTCGCTTTGCACTATTTAGGCAACGCGAAACTTTTTCTCCGTTAATTTGCAGATTTAACACATAGCCCTTACATCCCCTTGTCACAGACCGAGTACACATTGGAAAAAAGAAAAATGCAACTGAGAACCTAGACCGACATTTGATAACTTAGTTGCGCTACTCTGTAGTAGTTTTCACAGTAGTTTGTATTTTTAGTACTTTTTCTCACGTCCACCTCGTATTTTGCTCATAAGCCTATTATCTTCAGATGCAGACACCATCCACAACTATACGTTATGCATCAATACGCTCCAGTCGAAGTGGACTACTGCACTACTCAGCTGTGTTATTCCAACTTGACTGCCCACCTGCAACCTAGGATACCTCCTGCACGAGTAAAGGCTCAGGAAGGACAGATTCAGCTCGAAAAAGAAAACCTCTCCCACCACGACATCACGTTAATCGCTACAGAATCCTTAATTACAACGCCAGTTCATTAACAGATAACAAAAGCAGTCCCCCAGCAATCAGACAAACGCCCCGGTCCGGCCGCTCGCAGCAGCGCCAGC